AATAGGTTCATAAGGTCTGGCTGAGTTACTGAAGTCCTCCAATCTTGACCGAAAGTCTTCAAGTTGCAAAGAATCCACCAGTTACTCTAGTACAAACCAGCAAGTGACCCATGCCCCAGACATGGCTGAGTGAAGATTGACAGATCAGGCCCTACATTTGCAATATTGTATTCATTCTCACCAGGGCAGAAAACTCACCAGCTTTCAAGAACCTAGTCACTTGAGCTCACTGGTGGTACAAGAGTTTACGGAATCTCAGCCCAAAATGCACGTATTTTATCATGAAAAAGGAAATTCAAATACAGATGGCTCCACTTAAAAAAACCCAATCTATCACTTTACCAACACTACTTGCAGAACTCCTTACATTTAAACTTGTTAAACGAACTACTATAGCTGGGAAATGTCCACTTGGTAATGATGCCCATTGCAGACAAAACCTACATTTCATTCTCAGACCACAGCTGCCATATGCTAAAAGATCACTGCAAGGAGCTGTTATTTATTAAAGGCATGTGAAGGGTCTAATTATCAGCAGATTTGTAGGCCTGTTATTTAGTAACATATGTTACTGTTAAATCTGTTGTCTACATGTACTGATCATGTATTTTGTTTGCTGTAGGAACATTTTATAATATGCTGTTAACATATTTTAAAAACAATTTTACAAAGCAGATTTTGGAATGGAATTTAGCACTGGCCTGTGCATTTGCTGTAATTCTGTAGTAAATCAAGGTAATAACTTTTCATTTGTACAGAGAATACTGTATTTAAAAAAAACACACACTATAAATATGGGCCTGATTTTTGTCAGAGATAATGAGCAATTGCAGCTCCGAATGGCATCAGTCAGAATTGTGGGTGCTCAGCATTTCTGAAAATCAAGCCCTGAAACTATTTGCACAAACAGGTTCTCCTAGTATCTGCATTGAGTCTGGCCAGTTAGGTACTTTAGACGTCCCTTCCTCACACAGGAAGAAGGAGCTTGTTTTTTAACCACATAAAGAAAAAAAGGATAACTTATCCCAGACCTGGGGAAATCTTTTGGAGGATTTGGCTCCAAGTAGTATCCCAGCCCAAAAAGACAGACTTCAGTTCCAACTAGACGGTTTTCTAACATAGGGCAAAAGACTTTCAGCACAATCTGTTCATAGGAAAGTCCCTGAATCTGCTATTTGACTTGTCCAAATCAGCCAGAAGGAGATCTAGTCTAGTGATTACCTGAAGCATTCTGGGCTCTCGTCCCAGCTGAGTCACTGATTCGCTATGTGACTTGGGCAAGTATATAATCTTGCTGTGCCTCATTCAACTTGGCTGTAAAATTGGGTAAAAAGCAGGAGCTCACTGAAAATCTGATAGTGCCCCAGAACTGAGCTCTCCTGTATGGATGGATGGATGGAAAATTAAAGAATATTGTCTCTGCATCTTCTGATGTCAGTGTCACTGCACATACTCATGGCTAATGATGGGGCCAAAAAACACTCATACTGGGACTTCATAGATCAAGAGGAGGGATATGCAACTTTTTTAAACAAAGGCCATGGCTACACGGGGGAAATGAAACTCTAGAAAACATGTTAACTAATATCTGTTGCCACATTTTCTATCATGATACATTTTCCCAGCGTAGGCACAGTCAAGTAAACGTTGGAGCAGAAGGCCGCTCAGTCCTCCAGTTGTTCAATTAAATCCAAGTCTTTGTGGCCAAAAAAAAAAATTAAAAAATCTGAATACTCACTGTTTCCCCCCCACCAAGGAAAAAACTGGAACATGAGCACAAGGTCAGAGTGACAGTGTTTCAGTACTGACCTCAATCAGGGTTTGATCCAAGAACAAATTTGTATGCCAGATGCTGATGGAAAGCCTGTCTGTGCCTAACATATTGGATTTTTTTTTCCACAATTCATCCTTGAATAAATGTTACCCTTGTGCTTTTGCCAAGGTCAGTGATGTGATAGGGGTTATCTTCCTTTATAAAAGCCATTTGGTTAGGTTAACTGCCCAATTACATGGATAAATGCTCTTTTTAAGCATCATCCTCTAACTCTTATTAGATCACAACCCCCCTAATTCATTCAAGAGTACTTCACACCCATGCTAATTAGTTTTTGTGTACATGATTTATGTTGTGATGCTAAAGTTTTCCATGTATATCTTAAAAATCATATTTATGTAAACATTGTAAATCATTTTGTAGAATTTTACCTTGCTATTGGCACATTTGTCTGTATAACTTGAAGTATAAATAATGTCTCTTTTGGCCTGAGTTTTTAACTAGGCCACTACTTTTAAACTAGGAACTAGGAAACTACTTTTAAATACAGTTCAGAAACCTAGAAGTTGAAATGTCTAAAGCAAGGCTTAAATGGAAGCAGGACTGGGATGTAAATGTGAGCATTACACTGTAGAATGATCAGGTCTAAACATTATTTTGACTGTGTCCATAGATGTGTGTTTGATTTGAGAAATAAACATAAAATCAAATTATTATTCTTTTTATTAGTAAGGAAGTAAGATGAAAATGTAACTATGTAGGATGACAGCTAATTCATAGCCTGGCATAAATTATGCTTAAATCTTTGAAACACAGAGACAAAAACAATTTGTCCACAAATTAGATGGCAAAAAAATGTAATTTTGCAGGTAAAGTAATACTAATACTGAAAACATCAGATGTTTACCAAACAATGTAACTGTTTGTAACAAAATCCATACCTGTAAATTACATGGAAAAGTAAAACAAATTTATGTAGGGTTTCCTTAATCTACATAATGCAACACTATACACAGGCTGTAGGTATTGTTGCCTTTTGTTTGCTTTTATAATGCTGTTGCAGTATATTTTTTGGAGGGGGGAGGTTTTTTGCATACTTTGTGCAGCAGCTGCCATGCCACTGGGATGTTTGGTCTTAAATTATGGAATTTTCATTGAAGAAAATGTGCTCTAACAGTACCTCTTTTCAAAAAAAGTGTGTTTATTTTCCCTTATATCAAAAAGATTTTAAAAATTAGATTGTTGCATTTGCTGTTTCCCATATTGATTGATTTGTTTTGAAATATACAAGAAGCGGCTGAAATTAGATAGCATGCATACAATTTTTCATTCAGAAATCAAATAGCAGAAGCATACATTCCTCTCTTTCAGTCAGTATTGTCCCTTAAGCAGAAAGTCTAGCACTTCATGTTAGAGGCTTCCTTTGTTCCCTTTACATGGGGTACAACCACAATTGGGCATCTGAGAAATCCTCTATCATGTCCATTAATTTCATTGTTTTATCTAGTTGAGAGCTACAAAGATGTTCAGAATCATTTGATAAGGAAAACTTAAAATTGTCGTAATTAACTATCAGAGGAGTAGCCGTATTAGTCTGGATCTGTAAAAGCAGCAAAGAGTCCTGTGGCACCTTATAGACTAACAGATGTATTGGAACATAAGCTTTCGTGGGTGAATATCCACTTTGTCGGATGCATGTATGGTGGGTATTCACCCACAAAAGCTTATGTTCCAATACATCTGTTAGTCTATAAGATGCCCCAGGACTCTTTGCCATAATTATTAACGTATATTCTGCTTCTCTGGGAATGATTTTGGCAAGCAGACCAATCAAAGAAGGCTAGGAGTGTTTAATCGCAATCTGCAGAAGAGGAACTAAGGTCTGATCTAAAACCCATTTAACTCAAGAGGCACCTCTCCACTGACTTCCTTTAGCTTTGAGTTCTATGTTTAGAATTCAATATATTGGGCCGCTAGGATTTACACATCTTTCATTGTCTCATGATGGTAGAAACCACACAGCTTACGCTGTTTTGTTTAATCATTCCGTGTGTCAATAACCCTCACAAAGAAACCTTACAGCTCATAAATGGTCTATTGTTTATATAAAGCCAGGGTAATCTGGAGCATGGCCTAGGCCTTTCCTTGCAGTCACATCACATTCAAGCTATGTGGAGGTTTTGAGCTGACTAGAGGAAATCTTCACCCAACAAAGCCAACCTTTTCTTTATTCCAAAGGATCATCATCATTTTGATATTGGCAATTTGAAATTATACAGTCACCACTAAAGACATCGCTCTTTAATGGAAGAATTATTCTTCGAAGTGAAGCTAAGCTGAAAATATTTGTTAGTGGTGCTGGTGAAATAATTCATTTTCATTTATAAATAGAATAGTGTGATTGGATAGGAGTGCCTCAGTCCCCTCTGCCACTGCACTTCATAAGAAGATTATACTTCTCTTTATGAAGTGAAAATAACCGGGGGGGGGGATTTTAATTATTACTCTGCCTCTTCCTGTCTCCATGGTGATCCCCCCCAAACAGCCTGTTCCCTTCTGTTGTATTGGACCTCCCCCCCCCCCAGTAATAAATCAGCTCTGCCTAACCCTGAATCACAGTATTAATCACTGGCCTAGGTAGGAGCAGTGCCCACAGCGTTTAGTACTGTAGCTTCTAAATCCAGCCACTCTGCCTTCCTCCCTCCAGGGCCTCTCCCTGGGTGCACGAACTTGAGTCTCGCTTGGATCCCTGCCCTGCTCGCCCGGGGGCCAGAGGACGGGCTGGGGGGGTGGGGAGACTGTCCAACCCCCCCCCCCGCGCTAAAGCAGGTCCCCGCAAGGCTCCCGCCTGCGTTGGTCCCCACCAGGGCCGCTATGGGGCTGAGAAACGCCTGCCCGCCCGCAGCCGAGGCTGGGCTCCAGGTGGGGGGTGGGAGCTCTGATCTCAGCCCCGCTCCTCCCCTCCCGGGTGCGCGCCGAGTTTGCAGGCAGGCAGTCGCGGTCTCGCCAAGCACCAGGGAGGCTCTCGGAGGCAATCCTGTTTGCAGCTATAAAGCCCCCGTCGGGATTTACGGCGGGGATTATGCCCCTAATTTCCTGCCGTGCCTGGGCGGGCGGGGTTGCAGCAGATGGCAGAGGGGACCCCTCTGCGGCGCCCCCCCCCCAGTCTCTTTCCCCTCCCCTCTTCCCCCGGCTCCGCTGTAGGGGGTGGGGTGGGGGGTGTTACCTGGGTTCTCTCCGGCTTCAGGGGCAGCGCAGTCCGTGAGGATGCTGGGGTCACTCTGAGACCTGCCTCTGGGGAGAAAACAGCCAGTCCCGTCTTCCGCCGCAGCCATGGGTGGGGGGCTCAGAGGCGAGGGGAGGACGAGGCGCTCATGGAAGGGGAGGCAGCCAAGGTCACAATGGGGAAGCGGGGGCTGGAGTCCCGAGCGCCAGCAGCTTCAGCCAGGCAGCCCCAGCCGGGGCAGCATCTTCCCCGGCCTCCTTCCGCCAGCTCCCGTCAGTGCTCCCCACCTGCACCATCCAGCAGCCGCAGAGATGCCCCTAATGCCCTGGGCTCCTATGGCCACTCATGGGCGAACTTTCTCTCGGTGCAGCTCAGGGGGGCTGCTTTCATGCTGCTCCGTGGGGGGCTGGCAGGAGCTGGGGCTGGGCTCTCCCCTCCCCCTTGCCCCCCCTCCCTGCCCCCTGCCACCCAATAACAAAATCTTCGCTCCTGCAATTGCTTTAATCTGCTGCTCTTCTTAGAGCATCTGTTGGAAAACATTGGGATTCTCCCATCATGCCCCGCGAGAGGCAGTGTGACATCACAGTGGGGTGGGGGCCTGGGAGAGGGGACACCTGCACTGCACAAAGAGGGGGCGGCAGCAGCAGGTGCGCGTGGCTAGGGGGACCCTGTGGGGGGGGAGGTGAAGGAAGCTGGGGGTCCTACTGTTAATCTGCCGCTGTTTGCATTTCAACCCCCCATCTCCCCTCCCCCCCACCGACACAGCTCCCCCCACCCCTCGGCTGCGAGTCAGGAGCAGCCCCTGGCTGCTATCATGTGACCAATCAGATCCGCCCAGCAGGGTCTATCCGGGTGCGTGTGAATGGGGGGGATCCCAGCGAGCCTGGCCCCTTCTTCCCCCCTGCCCGTGGCGGGAGCAGCTGCGGGACTCGCCTGGCTCCGGCCAGCTCAGAGTCCGCAAAGCGCGCCGCGTGTGGGCAGCAGGCTAGTGTGCCAGCCTGCACGTGGAGCGTGTGTGCACAGTGTGTCCGCGTGTGCACTGTGTGCGTAGAGCGCGGGTCAAGCGTGTTGCCTTGTACGTGGGCGCCTGCCCTGTGCGCTGTGTGGGCGCAGCGGGCGTGTTAGCGGGTGCAGCGTGGCTCCCTTTCGTTGGCCTGTGTCCCCTTTGCCTGTGTCGCGGGGCCCCCGCTTTGCTTCCCCGGCCCAGCCTCTCCTGACTCCGTTCCCCGAGAAGCGGAGAAAGAACAGGTGACGGGAGAAACCCAGCGAGCTGCTGCTGCCCATGTCAGCTGACGATCTGCCTAAAACTCAGCCCTCTAAAAGCTGTGGGCAGCTTCCAGTTTGCCAGGCACTAGCTGCCCTGACCCTGTTGGGGTATGAGTGCGTGTGTTAATCAGTGGTGCTATCCGTGCTTTCCTTAACAGCCTGCTTTCAGGGACAAGGTGGCTTCACCTTGGACTGGAACAATCAGAGCAGGCTGCTTTTCTATGGCTGTCGGGTAGAGCTGGTCAGGAATTTTCCAAAGTTGGTTTTTTTGTTTTTTTTTTGGAATTTCTTTTCTATTGTACATTAAAACAAAAGAATAATAAAAAGTCAAAACTGGTACAAAACATTTAAATTGACCCCAAATGATGGTTTTCTTTGGAATTTCACTTTTAGAGGAAATTTCAAAAGTTTTTTTGTTTTTGTTTTCATTCTCTTCTTGAATGGATGTTTTCCCCCCAAATATGTGGCATTTCCCAGGAATAAAAAAAAAACAGATTCTGTCCAGAACTATGACCAGGGTGGATTGCTTGGCAGCAGCATATGTGCCAATCCTCTGTTTGATTTCTTCCCTGTTAAAACTTTAACCGATGGATGTCTCAGTTAGAGAAGCAGAGACCTTTTGTGGGCACCGCTGTTAGTGGAGAAGCATTGAATTTGTCCATGCAGGCCTTGCACAGAGTACACAGTGGTCTCGGTCCCACACATTTACCTGTACAGAGCACTCCCCAGTGGTGCAGCTGCTGTTGGCATTGTATGTAATACACCCTTGACACAGAAGTAAGGTGTAAGGGCTGGGGGTTTGCACACTCACGTGTACATGTTACAGGCATAGCTGTTAGCAACACCTATACTTAAGGTTGCTGGACACGTTCTCTTATAAGACTGTGTTCAGTTGCTTATAACTTTGTGAAACAAACCATTTGGGCTGAAATTGTCCATCATAGGTGTCTGCTCCAGGATGATTTTTTTTTTAATTCCAGCAAATATGTTGTTTAAAGGCCAGAAAAGGGGGTTCGGGAAAGATTTCTTTGAGGCTGTGGTCCTCATCAAGTATGGGTTGTAATTGTTTAATGATACCCCTCATGAGTTCCACCATGGGGTGGTAGGTGACTACGAGGGGCATGCAGTCTGTGGGGTTTTTTTCTGTATGGAAGTGGGGGGGGATTTGGGTGGGCTGTTCCATGATGTGATCTACTTCTCTGGTGGAGTGTCCTTGTTTGGCGAAGGTGGTTTTAAGTGGGTTAAAGTGTGTATCCCAGACTTTCTCCTTGGAGCATATTCTCTGATATCTGAATGCCTGGCTGTAGATAATAGTTTTCTTAGTGTGTCTAGGTTGGTTACTGGACCTGTTGAAGTAAGTGTGGTGATCCATGAATTTCTTGTTCATAGTTGTCATAGGGTTCCATTGTTGAAGCTGATCATGGCATTCAGGAAGTTGATGCTGGTGTGGGAGTGTTCTAGAGAGAGTATGATGCATGGGTGACGGTTACTGAAGTTGTGGTGGACATCTGTGAGGGAGTTTGTCATCTGTCCACAGGATGAAAAGATCATTGATGTATCTCAGGTTTATCATTGGTTTCATGGTGCGTTTGTCCAGAAAATCTTTCTTAAGGTGGTTCATAAAGAGATTGGCATACTGGGGAGCCATCCCCGTACCCATGACTGTTCCCATAGTTTGGACAAAGTGCTTGATGAATGTAAAGTTGCTCTCGGTGAGGATGAAACGACTGAGTTTGGCAGTGTGTTTAGTGTGGATATCTGAGTGTTTTATTGCCTTGTAGATATTTGAGGCAGGCAGTGATGCTATGTTGGTGTATAGGGAGGTGTCATTCACAGTGACAAGTGGCATCCTGAGGGAGGTCGTTAATGTAGAGTTTCTGGAGGAAGATGGTTCTGTCCTGGAGGAAACTGGCCCTTTGTGTGGTCGGTGGTTTGAGGTTGGTTTCAGAGTTCTGATGTTCCTTCTGTAAGAGTGCAATGGCTAGATATGATGTGTTCTTTGTCTGCGTATTGTGAGAAGCATGTACAAGGTCCTTAGGGTGGGTTTGTGGGAGTTGAAGTTATAGAGTTTCTTTTGGAGTTGTTTGAGGAAAGCAGTGCTTGGATCCCTTCCTTTCTTACGGCTGAGTCAATTGCCTCTATATTTGCTTTGGTCCCTGCCAATCCAAGCAGCAAGAAACAGGCTGGGAATCAGTCAAAGGTATTTTGTGCCACAGCTGCCCTTAGGCCACTTTGTTATTTTTCAGTGCACTGGCATCATCTGTGGTGGGGAGGCTAGGAATAATAATTGTGTTCTGTTATTTAAACATTGACCATGTAGCACAACACATTTCATATTTTGCAAAAGATGCAGGTTTGCATGAAACATCTCTCAGTTATCCTCATAACAATAATTAATAGTGAATCCAATTGCACCTTTCATGAGATTATTTTATGAGGGTTCTGCAGTCTTTATGGTGGGTTTAAGCCCAAATGGACTGGTGTGTGGGGATCTCCGAGATTTCCGCCCCCCGAGGAAAATACATATGACTTCTGCAATGTTATAAAATCAGATCTGAGGTGACATGCCGAGTAAATATTGATTTGTGCAAGTTGAAGGTCCTGGAGGTAAGTCTTGTCTGGCTTCCACACCCAATTTACTCCAAGCTTTTAAAATATTTGGGGAGAAAGGAGCACTTGTTGTTTTGGGGCTGTGTCTTCTTTCTTGTCCCGTTCTCTTTTGAGCATGGGCATCCCTTACATGGCCCAGTCATATTATTTGGCAAAGCATAAACTCTAGAAGGAGGATCAATTTTAAATAACTGGATTGAAAGACACCTGTTGTGTCCACTTTTAGCTCCAAAATATTTCATAATCTGAGATAGATTGGGGTACATCAGTGATGATTTAGGGACCTGAAAGCCATATAGCCAAAAGAGGACTCACAGTGACATCAAACCACATAGTTCAACGCTCGGTGTAAAAGAATAATAATTAAGGCTGCAAAAGCTGGTGAAATGATTGCACGTTACAGTTGACTCAAGGAGAAAGAAACGAGGGGAAAAGCAAGTAGTAATACATAGTACTTTTTCCTCAACAGATATCAAAGCACTTCACAATCTTTAATGTACTTATCCTCACAACACGCCTGTGAGGTAGGCAAATACTATTATCCCCACTTTACAGATGGGGAACTGAGGCACAGAAAGGCTAAGGGACTTAGGCATTGCAACGCCTAACTTTCAGGTGCCTAGAAAACCACTGAAACTATAACAGGATCTGCAAAGCCTGAGTTACGTGCCTAGACTTCCTATACAATGAATGGGGAGAAAGCAGATCCACAAAAGCCGACATGCTGGGCAGGAGCTGCCTAGGCTACCCAATGGGAGATGCTAATGAGAGGAGTGTGTCCTAAGCCCCGCCCCTCTCTCAGAGGTAGGCATGTAAACTGGGCTGCAAGGAGGCACCTATCTCTGCTTGTGCAACCGGCAGCCTACTCCGGGAGTCAGCATCTTACATGTCTAAATTATTCCTGTGTGAATTAATTAGGTGCCTGCCGCACTCCATGAAAAGCAGCTGAAAGGGGAGGTGCTGCCACCGCTCACCTTATAACTTGTATCCCAATGGTTACAGCAGCCACTGGGAGACCTACGTTCAATTCTCTGCCTGAGACTGAATGGCACAGAGTGGAACAGCTTCAGTAGGAGAGACTGAGGGAGCCCTGCATCAGTATATCCCAGAACTCAGTGGTTAGGGCCCTCTTGTGGGAGATGTGGATTCATTTTTTTTCTCCCTCAGGTGGAAGAGGGAATTTAACCTGAGACTCCTACATCACAGATGAGTGCTCTAACCACAAAGCTAAAATGTATAGTGTGTGCACCCCTAACACTGGCTGGATTTTTGAACGGGGCCTGACATGGTATTTGTTCTCAGAGCACATCTACTAGATTGGGCCCCTCATCGGTGGGCAAACACTTATTTTTGCTGGGATTGCAGTGGGGAATAGGCAGTAAATAAGTGTCTGGGTGCCTAGAATGAGGCAGCAGCATGTATCCCCAGAGGCAAAAACTTAGACACCTAAGGGACTTTTACATTAGCAAGTGAAGTGCCAAGTAAGTTTAGATGCCTACAGGATTAGGCAGCAGCCCAGCAGGAGTTTTGTGGATCACAGTGGTATTTGGGTCCCTGCAAGGA